TTTTATTAAGAGTTGCTGTTATAATCAAAAGAAATCATAATGGCTTGCAGAATTTCTCTTACTGACAGTGACTGGTTAAGAGGTGGAACCTTCCTGAAAAGGTAAAGACCTTCCCATCTCCAATTTTTACTATAAAAATTGTATATTGATTATAAACTTAAGAATACAAGATGGAGAAAAACTACCACATCCAGACATGAAATCTTTTAGTAAAATTATTGTTAAATTTTATTTAATAAAGTTCCCCTGTCAGAATCTTCAAGTTCTGAAAGGTGATTAAGATGCTTGTAAGATTTTTATGAAATGTTTATCAATCCTAAAAGGTAGTGCTAAAAATCAAACAGTGATGGAAAGCAACCATATTTCCCCAAGACTTTACATATTAACAGAGAACATTTTTTTTTCAAACCTTTTCCCATGCACAAATAGTATTACTGAACCTATAATTTAGATTCATTACTTTATAGAGGAAACAGGAGAACAATTAAGGACTTGTCTGGGTCATGTTATATCAAATATCAATTTTTTGAGAGGAAAAGTAGTAGATTCTAAAAATTATAAAAATGAGCTTGACATTTATCACTTTTCAAATTCTATGGCAGATTAATAAACAGATGGCACATGAGAAGCTGGAAAAGGAGGTAGTGTGGTTTCACCAAGAATAAGAGGCATTTCCAGGTAACTTCATGTCCTGTCTTGATTTAATGTATTAGCAGATTAGGCTCCTTCCATTGACAGTGCAATGTGCTTGTCAGCCAAGTATGATGAAATTTCTTAGTGTCCTTTTAGGCAAGATGAAGAACCATGAACACCTAAGTGACTGGGAGGAGCTTCAGCAACTGTGAAGTACCGATTAATGGATCAAAGCCACCTGGAGTACAGTCTATAGTGGTTTTCTTAAGAGGGTCTGTATTTCATCTTGTTCTATTGAATATTTATGAACTTTGACAAAGCCACTAAATACTAAAGGCACGCTTCATCAAAACTGAAACTGACACAAAGCTAAGAGAAAGAATTCACAAGGACTTTGTGAGTTAAATTTAATAAGGATGAATACAGTCCTTTAATTAGGTTAAGAAGAAATTGTGTAATTTTAGGATGGACTGGGTTATTAGCAATGACTATAAAGCTCAGCAAGAGACAATATGATATGCTTGCTTAATGATGACGGTGATGATAATAGATAACATCAACATATTCCAATAATAACAGTCACGAGAATCACTTTGAGGCTGGCAATAACGCCTCTGGACCGTACTCTCATCAGACCACAGAAGAACTGTGTTTAGTGCTGAGCAACATATTTTAAGAGAGGGATTGCAAGAGCCAATGCCAGGTGGGTCTGGAATGGATATCATGTAAGAACTGAGAAGCCTGAGGGAAGAAGGTATGAAGAAGTGACCACACAGAAGAGACAGAACGTTTCTGTTTAGTGTCACATGTGTGCTATTTACAGGAACATTTGGGTGACACTCTTCTAACAATGAAATCCATCCCTTGTAGGAGTGCTGAGTGGCTCTAACTCTGGAAGCAGTAGCTGAATGAAAATATGATACAATTATAAAAGGATCTGGCACTAACAAAGAGATGTACGATTCCTATTTCTTGCTCTGAGACTGTATTTTTTAGCACATTTATTGTATGAAGGGAGAAGCTTCATACATTTAGAATGCTTCTAAACATTCTAAAGTTTCTAAACAGAGGTGCCTGGGTGGCTCAGTCGGTTAAGCGTCTGACTTTGGCTCAGGTCATGATCTCACAGTTCATGGATTCAAGCCCCGCGTTGGGCTCTGTGCTGACAGCTAGCTCAGAGACTGGAGCCTGCTTCAGATTCTGTATCTCCTCTCTGACTCTTCCCTGCTCACACTGTCTCTCTTTCTCTCTCTCTCAGAAATAAATTAAAAATCAAAAAAAGCTTCTAAACAAAATGATTTGTTTTCTAATGTAATATGTGCATATCAGCACTCAGTTTGCCCTACTGAAATGCGTGAAGTCTCTGAAATCCTCTGGAAGTCACGAGGAGGCCACTGGGCCTCTGTCCTGGAACTGTGGGGGTTTCTGCAGTCCTGAGTCAGTGTGGCAATCAGGCCCTGCTGAACCCACAGGATTGCTAAGAATTTTAGGCAGGAGAGGACAGACACTGCTCCTTCAGAGCCCTTCCAAAAGTCTACTTCTACAACAGTTGGGCTCTCTGTTAGGACCTTCACAGGTCACAGTTCAAGAACTAAAAAAATCATGTGCCCAGGAGACCATTCCAGACTTTCTAATAGCTGTGTTCTTTGCCATTAATGCTAAATCCTCCAGGGTTAAATTACAGAAGTGATGTGACTGCACAATTAAGTATTAGAAATGACCACTGAGTACATCCTTTTTATTGTTTATGATTTACACGGAAAATGATGGACTGGGGTTGTTGAACAATAAACCAATCATTACATTTAGACTTGGGCTTTTGAAAAACTTGCATTCCATTTTAACAGCTCATATATATTTAACAGCTTATATATAAATCCAAATCACAAATAATCTTAAGAGTTAGTTAGCTCAAAGATAAACAATTAAGAAACACAACAGAAAACCACATGGATCTACCTTTAAATATCAGCATTCATATTACAAGGAAGAAGAAGAAAATGTTCAAAAAAAAATTAGGTCAAGTCACTTAACATAGAAAAATAAGGGAAACAATACTTTTATTAATATTTATACTTATTCCTAATTTACCTTCATATACTCTTAACTTTTCCAAAAGGATCCAAACAGTGTTTCAGAGAATCAAACAATATTTTGGTATGTGAACTTCTCCACCTCAGCTTATATCAACTTGTTATAATGAAAATCATAAAATCTCAAATTTCTTGAAAAACATTCTTAAGCCAACTCTAATTCAACTTTTCTCCTTCATAGCAGCTGTTTATAGATAGCAGGGAGCCAAGAATGAAGGATAGGAACAGATGGAAAGCAAAAAGTACAACAGTTATCTTAAGTTCAGCTCTCAACACTGCTGGTTGAGTTTGGAACCAAAACCTCTTAACAACTGGCAGATACTAGCTAAATCTTAACAGGCAAAGAAGAAATATTTTCTTTGGGACAGCTGCTATCTAGGAGTAGAAAACTGACGTCCCTTAATACTGCCTAAATATAATGTGTGGCTTACTTACTACAGAGAAATCTGTAGCAATGTCAGTTTAACAAGTAAGTGTCACAACTGATCAATATTACTTAAAGGAAGGAAACAACAACAAAAGAGAAACAAGAAAAAGAAAAGAAAAAAATAAAAATCACACTAGCCACAAAATTCCACAATATACACATGAGAGTTAATTTTAATCTGATTTGACTCCTTGACACTAACTGATCATCAATGAAATATGGAAAGATCACAGAGTAGAAAACAAGCGAAGATTAGTTTATACAACAGTGACTATATACATCAGAAGGAAAACATGCTAGCTAATGCAACATTAAGGCCTGAATGTAAGCATTTCCAAAGTCACAGAAGCCCCAAAGAACCCCTAAATTACAAAGTCACCACATTACATGCATGCAATGTTCAGTTTTGTTTTACCCATAAGAGGATACACAGTATTTTGCTGTAAATACCAGACACACATTTACAATATATGCAAAAATTAGAATGCAAGTGTTATGTTTCTTATATTTAAGCCTCAAATGTGCCAACAGTGAAAATTCATTTAAGAATGGAGAAATGAGATAGAATATAAATACTCAGAGAAAATTACACAAATAAAATGTAATTTTGCATTTGGGAAGCCACAGAAATATTCCTTTTATATGTCCAAACTAAATTATCAACATACTACTCAGATGGATGTACACTCATGACGTGCTTTACAATTTTACTTGCTCAAATGTGGCATTCTAGCATCCATCATTCTCTGGTGCTGATATCAAATCACATCTGTAAGTTAAATATTACATCTGTAAGTTAAATATTATGTCCCTGGTTGTACATATTTGCCTACTGGGTGCGATCATCTAAACGGAAAGCTGTGCAATCTTATTTTGGCGTTATATAATTATGGACCACCCCAAATGTCAACTTTCCCATAAAAACAACTAAGGAGCTCATTTCCTTAGGTGTGCTAACTAAGTTAGCTCATTTCCTAACTTTTATAGAAATATGTGAACACAACCTTTTCAGAAGGCAAATCTGGGGTCAGGATCTTCTTTTCTCTTTTAGAGAAAGGTAAACAAGAAAGGAACTGTGTTACATGTTCAGTTCTGCTCATAGTCACTAGGTGATCATATAGTCTACTCCCTTTTCACCCAGCGCTCATTTTGGCTTACTCTGAAACCACCTATTTTTATCATTTATTTCCAGGTGAGTAATTTTATCAGAATAAATTAGTGTAAAGAAACAAATGCTGAAAATGTACTATGAATAATCCTTGTTCAGGAATTCTCTAAAGGAATAAATTATAATACAGTAAGGTTTAGGTATGTTGTAAAAAAAGGTGGCCAAATCTTTTCTATACCCCATCAGTTTTATCCTTTATACAGGTTGGTACAATTAGCCTTCTAGTAAGGATCAGATTTCCCTTCAGGATATAACAGAATGGATGCTGAAACACTTTGTTTTCAGACTTTCTGAAATATTTCAGAACCAAAGTTATTTTGAACAAACTATAACTAATATTTATAAATTTAAAAATAAATACATGTACTTAAATGTATTTACACTTATATAAATGTATTTATTTATAAATTTATAAATTAAAAACCAGTATTTATTAAACAAATGTGCCATGTTCTCAAGTATAACAATAACCAAGTAGAAAGGATTTCGTAAGGCCCTCTAATTCATCTCATCATACCAAGCACTGAGCACGCCAGATTGTTCATAAGCTTTACTAATCTTACCGCAAGCATCAACCACAGTAAAACACTCACGCTTTACTAACCTTACTTTAAGCACATCCACCATTTAGAAAAAAAAAGTTTGTATTTTACTACCTACCCATATCAAGGAGATTACGTTTAAGGTTTTAAAATTTTGTGATATTTTAGCCAAAATTCTGGCTTTTGTTTGGCATTCTACAAAGTCCTAATTTTAAACAAAGATCGAAGAGCAGACACTTTCCTAAAAAATCACTCAGTATTATGAACCAAGAGGTTCTGATGTAGCAAAAGCAAAGGGACCAATGAAAAAGCATGTTTTAGAATCCTTTTTATTTCCAATGAAACCAAATTTTACTACTGCTGTGATCACAGTTTTCACATTTGATGCAAACAGGAGAGCTTAATTAACAATCACTTAGTGGCAGTACTTCAGACAAAACCAATAATGTGTGCCACATATGTGATTATTTCTTCTGGAGAGGGTTAATTGGTAAGCTTGACTTTACAATTAATTATCAACATATTAAACTAAAGAAAATGGATGCACTGCTTCAACATTCAGCTTGAAAATGTTTAGTACTTTCTGCAAACCTAAATTTAGTTTAGAAAGGTTAATATCCTTCTTTCTAAACTATGGCATAGACTATATATAGCATTTTAAATTTATTTATATATAATTATTTGCACATCAGATTTAGAAGGAATTTGCAGATTTACTTTGATAGAATGATCTCATTCAAGTGTTGAGGTTTAGGGGGCTTCCGCAGAACTGTCATTTGAAGGTGGGGCGTCCTGGTCAGGCTCGGCAGAAGCAGAACCAGATGCTTCGATGACGGCAGGTGGGAAATGGCGGCGGCACACGGGGCATGTTCCAGACTGGAGGGGGAAGAGAACAAGTTCAGAGCCAAAGGAAAGGTCTTAACTGCCACACAGTATCTTCACAAAGTAAAAATAGTATCATTATCCTAAAAATGAATCAAATAACTTAAAAACAAAACTTCAAACCCACACAAACCAGAGAGGCAAAACTGTGATACTATTTCCTCTTCATCCCAATCAGATTCTAATTTGTTTGAGGGTGAATAGTGTCTCCTAATCATGTTTCTATCTTTCAGGTCAGTCATCTTTCATTTAGTATTAACCAAGAGTCTACTACTTCCTTGCTCAGCACTGGTGCTTTGGTAGGATGTGAGCAAGAAGTCACAGGGCATGTCCTGATCTGATCTGAATTAATTTTATTATTTAATCCATGATGCCTATATTAGAGAAACCACAGACCTAATTAATTTACACATTTATGACACCAAATCATCTTCTAGGGCTTCCCTTACATACACTGAAGCTTTACTTTAGTGCATGTCGAAACAGATAGAACTGAGACCTTCTTTATTAGCCATATAACTGCTTTTCAAAAAGATAAGGAAACTTAAGTGCCTTTTAAATGTTAAAAGAAATCAACAGTAGACCTAGCAGGTTAGATTGGACAGGGAAAGCAGCCATACGGAGAATACATTTTTGGACCAAAGATTATAGAGATGTATTATCTAGTGATAGATTATCCCCTCATAAATCTGGTTTTTATTTTCACCCCAATGAGATACCCTGATAGAAAGTAGGCTGAAGAAATCATGCTGTTGAAGGACAAATATTTGTATCTTAGGGATCTTCTCCCCAGAGAAGAGGCTTCACACTAACCTGTTTCTTGATACAGAGAGACCAAGGAGATTACTACTTTGGGTTATAGCTAAGTCAATGACAATTCAAGGCTGTACAACATATATAATGTTTACAATTCAAGAATTTAATTTAGCAAGCACTTATTGTGCACTTGCAATACAGACTGGGACCTAAGAACATTTTATTTATTTATCTTTTTTATGATTATTTTTTAACGTTTATTCATTTTTGACAGACAAGAGAGAGAGCATGAGCAGGGAAGGGGCAGAGAGAGGGGACACAGAATCTGCAAAAAAAAAAAAAAAAAAAAAAAAAAGAGAGAGCAAAGAAAAAGGAAGGAAGGAGGGAAGGGGAGGAAAAAAGAAAGAGGAAAAGGAAGGGCATGGTTATAGGGAAGAAAGGGAGCTATATCCTTAAGTAAGCTGTGAAAGTGATTTGAGAATTTCTACCTTACTGCCTGTAAATATCCTTTATGCAAAAACAGAATTCACAGAGATGATTTAAGTAAAACTCTTTTTTTCTTAAGTAATTCAAATATAGTTAAAAATTATTGGGTAAAGGGATATAGGAGTGCTGATGCATAGGAGCACATGTACCCCAATGTTCATAGCAGCACTCTCAACAATAGCTAAAACATGGAAAGAGCCTAAGTGTCCATCAACTGATTATTGTATCAAGAAGATGTGGTTTATCTATATGATGGAATACTACATGGCAATGAGAAACAATGAAATCTGGCCATGTGTAGCAACATGGATGGACGTTGAGGGTGTTATGCTGAGCGAAATAAGTCAGGCAGAGAAGGACAGATACCATATGTTTGCATGTATAGGAGGATTAGGAGTAACTTAACAGAGGACTGTGGGGGAGAAGATGGGGGGAAATAGGGAGAGAGAGAGAGGCAAACCTTGAGAGACTCTTGAATGCTGAGAACTGAGGACTGAAGGGTGTGGGGGGTGAGGGGGAAGATGGGTGGGGAGGAGGGCACTTGTGGGGATGAGCACTGGGTGTTATATGGAAACCAACTTGACAATAAACTATTTGTAAAAAAATTTTAAAAAAAACTACAAACTGATACTACAAAAAAAAAATTATTGGGTAGATATTTAAGGAGAGTATATAAAGTTGGAATAGGAGGTACCTGGTAGGTTATTACATATTTCTCATATACATTTTCAGAGAACTCAATCTGTATTAGCAGAAAATCTCTATACGATTACAGTACTTTGAGTAGTGCCAAAGGCTTTCTGCTTGTAATACTTCTGAAAACACAAATTTCAGTGATATGACTGAAGATCAAATTAGCTTCATCCTAAAATAATTCCTTGACATATTTAATCATTCTTGGAAATGTAACTGCTTGACATATTTAATCATTTACAAGAATGTAAATGATTGTTATCTATATTGTTTTTTGGACAATGCTAGTAAAGTAAAATAGTTCATATTATTATTAATCTGTAAACATTAAAAAGGTAATCAATTTATAGCACTTAATTAAAAAGAACTATAAATACGTAGCTAACTAAAAGACTTAAAAGATACTATTACCATTAACTTTCAGAAGGAACTATTAAAATATTTTTTAAAAAAGTAAAACAAAAACCTCACCTTCTGTAGCCAAATTGAGACACAAGGTTTGTGAAAGAAATGGTGGCATGGCAGCTCTGTTGCTATATCATCCTTAATATACTCACTGCAACAGATTGGACAGCACTGTTCCTGACCAATAGCTGAAAACAACAAACAATCTGATCAATCCCAGAGAGTTCGATTTTAATAAAACTGAAAATCAACATATCAACCCAGAGGTGATACCAAAGACAGACAAAAGAGCCAGACTTTGGTTAATTGGCAAACATGTTTCTGCAATACATGACAATTTGGAATTTAATAAATACTGATTTTGTAGAAAAGTTGACTGGGGAACATTTATTCTAGCCCATCACTTAATAAATTAAAAATACTCTTCTACTAGATGAAAGTTGGTCAGAATCTGGTTTCATAGAAAAACTAATGAGAGTTTCTAAAGGTGAGTATTTTATCTTTCAGGTGCACTGATAATATACTTAAACACGTAATGTGTCATATGACATTAGAGATCAACTTTGCTGTTACCAGTGTGGTCTTCAAGAACAAGGGTCTCTGGAAGGCCATCAATGCTTTCTTTACTGGCTGGTGGATTAGCCACCTCAACATCCACCGCAAGAGACTCTAAATGTGCAAGTGCGGTCTGAAAAAGAAAAGTCACAGTTCCTTGTTAGAACACGATTATTATTATTTTTAAATTTCTCCCCCCACCTTTTTTAACTTACATTTTAGTTAGTTATTAACATGCAGTGCAATACTGGTTTCAGGAGTAGAATTCAATGATTCATTTCTTACATACAATACCCAGTGCTTGTCATAATGATTGCCCTTCTTAGTACCCCAAACCCAGCTAACCCATCCCCCACCCACCTCTCTCCACCAACCCATAGTTTGTTCTCTATCATTAAAAGTCTCTTTTGGTTTGTTTCCCTCTCTTCTCTTTCCCCTTGACCTTCCCGTATGTTCACTTGATTTGTTTCTTAAATTCCACATATGAGTGAAATCTTAAGGTATTTGTCTTTCTGACTTATTTCACTTAGCATAATACATTCTAGCTCCATCCATGTCGTTGCAAATGGCAAGATTTCATTCTTTTTGATGGTTGAGTAATATTCCACTGTGTGTATATACACACACACACACACACACACACACACACACACACATCTTCTTTATCCATTCATTAGTCGATGGACATTTGGGCTCTCTCCATAATTTGGCTATTGTTGGTAATGCTGCTATAAACATCAGGGTACATGTATCCCTTCAAATCTGTATTGGTGTATCCTTTGGGTAGATACTTAATGGTGCAATCGCTGCATCATAGGGTAAGTTCTATTTTTAGTTTCTTGAGGAACCTCCATACTATTCTCCAGAGTGGCTGTACCAGTTTGTATTCCCACCAACAGTGCAAAAGGGTTCCCCTTTCTCCATATCCTGGCCAACACCTGTTGTTTCTTGTGTTGTGAATTTTAGCCATTCTGACAGGTGTGAGGTGGTATCTCATCACGGTTTTGATGTGTATTTCCCTGATGATGAATGATGTTGACCATCTTTTCATGTCTGTTAAGCCATCTGGATGTCTTCTTTGGAAATGTTTATTCATGTCTTCTGCCCATTTCTTCACTGGATTATTTGGGTTTTTTTGGGTGCTGAGTTTGAAAAGTTCTTTATAGATTTGGATACTAACCCTTTATCAGATATGTTGTTTGTAAATATCTTCTCCCATTCTAGAGGCTGCCTTTTAGTGGTGTTGATGGCTTCCTCCACTGTGTAGAAGCTTTTTATCTTGATAAAGTCCAAAAGTTCATGTTTGCTTTGGTTTCCCTTGCCTTTGTCAACATATCTAGTAAGAAGCTGCTCTGACAGAGGTCAAAGATGTTGCTGCCTGTTTTCTCCTCCAGGATTTTGATGGTTTCCTGTCTCACATTTAGGTCTTTCATCCATTTTGAATTTAATTGTGTGTATGGTGTAAGAAAGTGGTCCAGTTTCGTTCTTCTGTATGTCGCCATCCAGTTTAGAAAACACTTTAAAACAGTAATAGAAAACTATTTTTAAGGTATTTCCCAACATTATATGTACCACTATTCTCGTCCTGTTAATTTCTACTGCTTCACTCCCTGCCCTTTTTGCCTCCTTCTAAAAGGAACCACCATCAAACCAAAACATCAAAAAACATATCAAGAAAAGCACTGTACTTTTCACAAGAATGACAAAAACCTACATTGTCTCAATAACATCTACTTGCCCATCATAACTATATTTTCAGAAAAGTGTTTATCTCTTTCAACTTATCAGTTCCTGTGTGGAATCAATAATATGAAAGAAAGTAAACATCTTGGACAAGCTCAACATATGAAAGATAAAATGTGATTAAGGTTACCAGATAAATATTCAAGGTATAGAAACAAATAACGTATTACTCAATGATTATATCTATCACTGGCATAGCATTAGCATGCAGGCGCACACACACACACACACATACACACACACACACACACGACTAGCTCACTAATACTACTAGCTTAACTGGAATGTAAACTTTATTTAGGAGTTCTATGTCTACATAAAGTTATTATTCTAACAAGGATGAAAGGAACAAGTATAATCCTTTTGTGACTTGATTAGCCCTTCTGGCTACAGTAAGATTAGAACCACAGGTGGGACTTATATTCACAAGACCCAAAAGGTGGAAACCCAAGTATCCATCAACAGATGAATGGATAAACAAAACGTGGCTGGTAAAGGTAAGTTTAGCGTCAAATTCATTATATTCAACGATTACTCTAAATGTAAATGGACAAAATTATCTAGGGAAAAGGCACAGAGTGGCTGGTTGGATTAAAAAAGCAAGACCCAGTTAACTATATGCTCCCTACAGAGACTCACTTCAGCTTTAAGGACACAGAGGCTCAATGTAAAGGGATGGAAAAAGATATTCCATGAAAATGGGAACCAAAGAGAGCAGGGGTAGCTATACTTGTATCAGAAAAAGTAGACTTCAAGACAAAAATGATAACAAGTGACAAAGAAGGTTATTATTTAATGACAAAAGATCAATTCATCAAGAGGATATAGTAATCACCAACAAATATGCACCCAACATTAGAGCACCTAAGTACATTAAGCAAATAAAAGCAGACCTGAAGTGAGATTATGCAACAGTAGAGACTTTAATACCTCACTTTAAACAAAAGGATTATCCAGATAGAAAATCGGCAACAAAACATTAGACTTGAACTACAACTGAGATAAAATGGTTCTAACAGGCATATAGAACATTCCATAAAACACCAGGAAACTATACAGTCTTCTCAAGTGCACACAACATTCTCTAGGATAGATTATAAGGCAGGTTACAAAACAAGTCTTCATAAATTTAAGAAGACTGAAATCATACCAACTATCTTTCTGACAAAAATGGCAAGAAACAAAAAAATCAATAGGAAGAATAGAAAATTTACAAATGTGTAAAATTAAATAACACACTCTTAAACAAACCTATAGTCAAAGAAGAAAACAAAAGATATCCTGAAACAAATGTACATGAAAATAGTATGTCAAAAATTTATGGAATGAAGCAAAAGCAGTTCTAAAAGGGAAGTTTATAGCGATAAATGACTACATTAAGAAAAAAGATCTTGAATAAACTACCTAACCTACACATCAAGGATACAGAAAATGAAGAAAAAATGAAGTAAAAAGCTGGTAGAAAGAAAGAAATAATGAAGGTTAGAGCAGAAATAAATGAAGCAGAAACTGGAAAATTAAAAAAAATCAACAAAAAGTTGTTTTTTCGAAAAAACAAACAAAAATGAGAAACTAAGAAAAAGAGGGGAGACTCAAATAAAATCAGAAATGAAAGAAGAGAGGTTATGACTTACACTATAAAAATGTAAAAGGTTCAGAGGAGACTACCATTAACAATTATACACCAACAAACTAGATTACCTGCAAGAAATGGGTAAACTCCCAGAAACCTATAACATACTGACATGAAGAATAGAAAATTTGAACAGAGTAGGACTAACATTAAGTAAGAATACTGAATCAGCAATAAAAAATGTCCTAACAAAGAAAACCCCAGTATTGGATAGATTCCCTGGAAAATCCCACCAAAGATTTAAAGAAAGAAAGCCAATCCTCTCAGGCTCTTTCAAAAAATTGAGAAAAAGGGAATACTCTCAAACTCATTTTATGAGGCCAGCATTATCCTGATGCCAAAACCAGATTAGGATATAAGAAATGAAATTATGGCCCAATAAGCCTGATGAACATAGATGCAAAAACCCTCAACAAAATATTACCAAGATAAACACAACAGCATATGAAAAAGATCATACATTGTGATTAGGTGGGATTTTTCCCTGGATGCAAGAAAGGCTGTAACACACAAAAATCAATAAATGTGATATACCACATGTAGAGAATGAAAGATAAAAATCATATGACCATCTCAATAGATGCAAAAAAGCATTTGACAAAACATATCATCCTTTCATGATAAAAGCTCTCAACAAATTAGGTACAGAAGTAACAGACCTTAACATAATTAAGACATCCATATTTGACAATCCACAGTTAACACTATAATCGACACTGAGAGGCTGAAAGGTTTTCCTTTAAGATCAAGAACACGACAAGGTTGCTCACTCTCACCACTCCTACTCAACATAGTACGGAAACTCCTAGCCAGAGCATTCAGGCAAGAAAAATAAAAGGCATCCAAATGGGAAAAGTGGAAGTGAAATTGTCTTTATTTGCAGATATGATTTTTCATATATAAAATCCTCAAGAGTCCACCAAAAAACTGTTAGGACTAATCAACAAATTCACAGAAGCTCTACAGTACAAAAATCAACATACAGAAATCAGTTGTGTTTCACACTAATTATGAAATATTTGAAAAAGAAATAAAGAAAACAATCCCATTCACAATAGCATCAAAAGCAATAAAACACTTAGGAATAAACTTAACCAAGAAGGTGAAAGATTCTATACAGTGAAAACTGAAAGAGGCCAAAGATATAATGGAAAGATATTCCATGTTAAGGAATTGGAAGAATATTAAAATGTCCATATTACCCAAAGCAACCTACAGATTTAATCCAATTCCAATCCAAATTCCAATGGAATTTTTCACAGAAATAGGAAAAAAAAATCCTAAAATTTGTATGGAACCACTAAAGACCCTGAATGGCCAAAGCAAAGAACAACACTGGAGGCAATACAATTTTCGATTTCAAGTTTGAAATCTACTACAAAACTATTGTAGTCAAAACAGTATGATACTGGCATAAAAACAGACATATACACAAATGGAAAAGAATCAGGAACCCAGAAAGAAATTCCAGCATATATGGACAATTAATATTTGACCAAGGGAGTCAGGAATATTCACTGCAGAAAGGATAAGGTCTTCAATAAATAATATTGAAAAACCCAGATAATCACATGCAGGATAAGTACATGCATGAAACTGGACCTCTAACTTAACACCATTCACAAAAATTAATTCCAAATGGATTATGAACTAAAACATAAGACCTGAAACTCTAAAATTTCTTGAATACTGGTCCTTGACACTGATCATGGCAATGAATTTTTGGGTATGATAATAAAAGCACAGCAACAAAAGCA